GGCTCTCTTCCATCTTGGACTGCAGCATGATTTCACAGTCTCTTACCTGGATCCCAAAGCTCCCACAAAGGCACTTTTGTCTGTAGATGGATGCCAAAGTATTGCTGTTGAGAGGGGATACTTATGAGAGACATTTATTCAGCCATTTTGCTGATGTCACCATTTATATATTTAAAAAGAGGTAAAATAAACACTTGAAAATAAAGGAAGTCACAATATTGCTTCAGAAGAAAAGAAGGGAGTATGAGAGTTGAAAATTTGTATTGGCCTCATGATGTTGGCTCAACAAAGTAAAATCTTTGGTAAGATTTTTAGAACTTTTAGAATATGTGATCTGAAGGACCTAGAATGATAGCTGCTATTCAGTAGCTCTCAGTAAATATAGCCTTGTTTTCTTTTCCTTGTCTGCTCTTCCAAATGTGTTTGACAGTATCACACAGAACTTGTAATGTCCTTCACTAAAATCTGCCTATATATTTATGGAATTAACTAGCAAACAGTAAGTCACCTGCCCTGGTGGGCTTCTGAGCCCTGTGAACTGGAGTAAGCTGCCAACAGTAGTGAAAGGAGCTGTCCCACAACAATTTGAGTGGATTCTCAAAGATATAACTCAGTTCCAGACAAACTGAGGTCATTTCGGTTGAGTGCCTAGGTCCTGAGTTAAAAGATATTTCAATACATGAAATATTAAAGGACCAACCTTGGACAGTGTGGACCTTTCTATGTCCACTGATGAGCATTCTCCCCAGAAGACCAACAAAACAATTCAGTGGCTCTTTCAGACACATCCCTACTTCTTATGCCAGGAACTCTTCTGTGAGCTGGAGATGTAGCAATGAACCAAACAGAAATTCTGTTCACGTGGAGATTTTATTCTCTTCTTTTTTAAATAATGAAATTTTGATGAGAAAAGGTCAGTACATGAGGCATAAATGTAATCGCTCATCCATTACTAATTAATGATAATAAGAATAGAAAGCCCAGTTGCCCCCTAGATGTTTAAATCGCAGAATATACTTTGTATTTAATTTCTTTTTATGATTCATAGCTGTAATGACCAGATATATTTGTTTCACTTTCTCTAAATTTAACAACTACTTTTAAAATCTGAAAAAGAACTCAGGCTTTGAATTTTTATTCTAAACAATCTTTCTCCTAAAAAGACCTCTGGAAGGTTCTAGACCCCATGAATTTCAGATAGCATGGCTATAATCCATTCTACGTAAATGCTGTCTAGCTGAAGATTATTCAGGGTCATTTTCCATAAGAAACTATGTAAAATGTCTTTAGAAAGTACAGTAAGCAGAAAATACAACATCTGCATTTTGAATATGCATTTGCCACCTGCACATTTGCAAGTAGTATCAAATTAAAGTAACATTGACCTGAGAATGAACTGAATTCCATTTTAATTATATTTGAATATTTACATTCCAACATATTCAGATGTTTTGTCTGAAGATGTTTCTGCCTTTGTGATAGATGAATGTGCTAGGGGGTGTGTATGTATTGATGTATGTGCACATGCCTGTTGCATGTGTATACAGAAAAATAAAAAGAGTTTTTTACCTAGCTCTAATGAAGCATTAAAGGTATTTGACTTAGAGTACCACTCATTTTCACTTTACAAATGGAGCTATTAGGAAATTTTCTAGACATGATTTGCTATCATACCAGAATACAGATAAAAACATTGTATCCTTAGGATGTGATTCTATATATACCTATTTAAGAAGTGGGAAAATGTTTCCCCAAAGGTAGCAAACATCTAAGCACAGCACATTTTTAGGCAACAAACACAACACAATAAAACATTATGTCTTGTTACACCAAGAGGACAGTAATTTTAACATTTTTAGAATTACATATTCAAGAATTAGCACTGAGCTGGGAAATATAATTTATTACATAAAATATTAATAAAATCAGTTATTAAGGTAAATTCTTGAAGCTCTGCATGAAATCTTCACAGGAATCACAGCTCATTTAGCTATTATGCTGTGCTTTAGCTTTCTTTAGATTCTCTGAAGAGAACATGAGGCAAAAGCCTCTGCAGTAACACTTCATCCCGGAGGGCAGAAAGGAGTTCCCAGGTTGTTATGGAAGGGAATTTATCTATTTGTCCTTTTCTGTTCAGTATTTGTCTGATTGATCTTGTTTCCAGATATTTTCTCCTGTCTTTCTGGTCTTATTTCTCCTGCTTTAACATTGATTAATCACCAAACCATAAAACTTATCATGGAGAATCAGCACAGAGCACTGGTAGGAATGCACACTCTCAAGTCATCCTGACTGAGTTGGAATCCTGGCTCTGCCTCTTGGAAACTGTGTGATCCTGGGGGAAATTGTTTTGCCTAGTCTGCAATATCAAACATGAAGAGTTGTGGTGGGAATTAAATAAGTTAATATATAATAAGAGCTTAGAAAATGGCCTGACACAACATATGTGCTATACTAATCACTGCTAGACATTTGTGGAGAGATCTTTATTGCTGAAGATTTTCTAACGGAACATGGCCATCTCCTCTACAATCTCTTCTACTTTGAGTTTGGCCAAGTAGAGAGGACTTTGCCCAACATAAACAACATATGTCTTGGGACCAGCCCGGTGGTGCAGTGGTTAAGTTTGCATGTTCCTCTTTGGCGGCCAGGGTTCACCGGTTTGCATCCCAGGCAGGGACCTACCCACCGCTTATCAAACCATGCTGTGGCAGGCATCTCACATATAAAGTAGAGGAAGATGAGCAGAGATGTTGGCTCAGGGCCAATCTTCCTCAGTAAAAAGAGGAGGATTGGCAGCAGATGTTAGCTCATGGCTAATCTTCCTCAAAAAAGAAAAATTATATATATATATGTATGTGTGTGTGTGTGTCTTGTAGTAGGTAAGAAGAAGAAAGCAATAAACGACTTGGGAAAAGGAAAAGTTAAAGTGGAACTAATCACACAGTTGTGTGTTTCCTAGAAGACAAACATGGGACACTTGAGAGTAAATGCCCAATGCCAATGGGTTCCACATTTTAACAAAATTTAGAATCAAATATATGATTTTGTCATGATATAGATGAATAAAAAACACTTAAATATATATCAGGTCTATTTAAGTGAATAATTTTAATATTTATTTTATACTAATGTGGGGTTTTTAAATTAATGTTGATATTTCTCTGTTTCTTCTCTACCTGATTACTTAAAGGATTTGAGGTGACTTTGGGATTTGAAATTTTATAGTCACATTTACTACTTAAAATTTAAACCCTTTTTTATAATCATAAAATATACAATTATTGGGGTGAGTGTCATAATATCATTTTGGCACAACTGCAATTTAAATAAGGGCAAATCAAGAATTGAAAGTGATCACTGTTTGTCTTACCCATTTTCATACTTATGCTTTAAACCTGTTAGTTACATTACCAAAATGAAACCTATTTAACCCTCTAAGCATACATAAATTTTGTCTTGTCACTTCACTGGTACATTCTAGAAATCAATAAATACACTGAGTTCTTTGAAAATTGTGCTTCCTTTCACTTTTGAAGAATTTATGCTATGAACACTAAAAAGAATAATTTGGCATGGATCCCATTTTATACAAAGACAAATTTCTATTATAACTACATTGACAATGGGCTGGCCCAGTGGCACAGTAGTTAAGTTCGCACATTCCGCTTCTCTGTGGCCCGGGGTTCACCGGCTCGGATCCTGGGTATGGATATGGCACTGCTTGGCACGACATGCTGTGGTAGGCGTCCCACATATAAAGTAGAGGGAGATGGGCACAGATGTTAGCTCAGGGCCAGACTTCCTCAGCAAAAGAGAGGATGACTGGCAGTAGTTAGCGCAGGGCTAATCTTCCTCAAAAAAAAAAAAAAACTACATTGACAAATTACTTATACACAAGCTTCCAGGCAGAATTAACTTGTAATAAAAGCCATCTACTAGATCTCACTTTAGCAAACTTTGAAAAGACATCCATAAAATTTTGCATCCTGTCATTCTACCATCTGTTGCATGGTTCAACATCATGTAACCATTGCCAGATATGATTGTTAAATGACTCAATTGTACTTGCCACTAAGATAGGACAAATTTATCCCAATATATTAAATTTATAAAGGTCCACACACTCTATCTTATCATTGTCCCTCAAATTTTTTGCACTTTCATACTTTGATATTGTTCTTATATCAATAAATTATTCCCTCTGTCCAGACACTTTAATTGGCTTAATTTAGTAATTACAGTATAACTTATAAAAGAGCTGTTTGATAAATGCACTAGGTATAGAGGAATGAGATATGATCTAAAGACATACATTTGTATGTAAATTGTCATTTTCATATGTAGGAGAGCATATGCAAGATATAAAAACGTTCTCTTATAGAGTAAATAATAGTTAAACATTACATTTCTGCATTATGAAATACAAAATATACCATTTTTACAATTTCACTTCTATGCTATCACTAGACCTTAAAAAGGCTTACAAATATTTTTGTCGGTACCTGAGTCATCTCTTAGGACACTGCACAGTGAAAGCCTATTACTCTTAAATTAAAAAAAAAAAATCAAATCAGAGCAGACAAGCAAAACAGGAAATGATAACAGACTCTTTCCTGGCCACATCACCAACTGTCTCATATTCAGTCAGTAGATTAAGTCATGGAAGATTAAAGCAGAAGCTTGCTCAGGGCATATAGAAAATGCAAAATACTTGATTTGCAAAAATGTAAAGTGTAAAAGAGGAAAAATGTGTTGGAAAACCAATCAAGTTAAAAAAGTCCCTAAAGAATCTGAATATCACTCTATTATATTTATGAGGGATTGTCATAGTTTGAAGATAATCCATTAAATCTATCGAAATACCCGACAAGACAGCAATCCAAATGATAAAGCCATTCTAATGAAATGTAGACAAAGATTAAAAAGAATTAAAAGTGACAAGTAAAATTCATTAGAGAACAGCTTTTAACTACTGTCATCAGAAGACGATTACTTACCTTGTCAATTAACAGCTGTGTGCCTCCATTGCACACAGACAAAAGCTCCTGCAAAGTGTCACAGAGACGCCTGGTGGGCATACACAATGTGGTAATTTGAGTGGTACACAGAGCGTTCATGCTTCCAAGTGAAACATCCAGACAGCATTGACTCCACCAAACCCACGATTAACTACGCTTCAAAGCTCCTGTAACCCACTCTTGCAACGTGAACATAGCAGATTTGGGAAGTAATTAAAAGCTGGGAAATAATTACACTACGATTCATCTACTCCAAAAATGTTTCTCCACAACTAGAAAATCTCTACTTTGGTGAGGAAAGAAAGTTTCTGCCCAAAACTATTCAGAAACTTTAACTATGTATCCAAGGGAAACAATACACAAGATTCTCTATTTGATGTACTATAAAACTAAAAACTCAATCATTTTCTCTGGCAAACTATTGTAAATCTTGAAGTGTGCAGAAGAAAGAGGAAGAAAGTAGAACTTCTCAAACATGGAGACATCTCAATTTATAAATTTTCACCAACAAAGGCAGCATTGATTTTTCAAGAGAGCTTTGATTCGGACAAGCGTATTCTAAACTTACAGAATGAATGCTGAACAGGGTAACTTGATTTGGGAAGATTAACCTAAGAAGAGTTCAAAGAAAATGAAATTGGGTACAAAATCAATTCGTTCCCAGAAATGAAAAAAAATTATAGTACATTTTTTCAAAGCCTATATCTGCCTTTTTGTTACAATAAAGTGATAGTGTAAGTGATTATTTACAGAAATTGCCATACTCCAGGTTTCACCATGCTATTTTTATCTATTAGAAACCACTAGTAAATTGTGTTTTATTAAAGAAGTTTTAAAACTCTGATCTGAAAAAGAAAAATAACAATATGTAAAATGGAAATCACATTAAAAAATTAGAAGTTATTTTAGAAAGCTGATTTCATTTAGAGAAATTGCTTTTTAAAATATAACTACTTGTTATCTAAATATTTCATGGCATTTATTGATGCATTATGAAATCAGACTCAGTAATACATTCTGCTTATGTGACATTTTTGATACAAAAATCTATGTCAGTTTCAGCAGTACTGAAAGAAATGGTTAGAGTGCCAGTATTGATGGAATAAGTCTGTTTGCTGGCATCACTGAGACTGACTTTTCATGCTCAGCATTGTTAAGCCCTTGCCATGGTGAGAAATATTAGCAGCCTTCACCTGGGAGAGGTGGTATAGCCTGGTATCCAATGTGCCTGAGATGAGGGCCCATGATCTGTAGACTTCTGCTTAACCCTGTAGCACTGCTTCTGCTGCATCATCCAACCTCTCTTTCAGTATCTTAGTTTCACAACAGTTGGTTCTCCTGGGATTTGAGCTTTCTCTTGAAATTTAGTCAGCTTTCTAGGGTTCTATCATTCTGTCTCCCACTCTTCAACTACCCTCCACCCACTCAATCCCACTCTCTGAAACTGGCAACAGGGACTCATTGGCTGTGAAAATCTCCTTGGACCATGTTCCTCACGTAATTTAGGGCATTGCTACAGTTGAGTTACTCCATCTTCTGTGGTCTACCTATAGATCAAATTTCTTTGTGTGTTTATTACCCAGATTTTGATCACAGTGATTTGAATACCTGGACAGCTCGCAAAGACCAACTAGGCCTGCAAACTATCTAGTTATCCTTGTCCTAGTCCGTCTATCCCCAGCTTCTGTCATTTCCCCAACTCTTCTCACAGACTTTGTAATCAAACCCACTGAAGACACAGCATGGCTGAAATCATGGTCCTATACTGACTCCGGGCCTCAGGCATCATCGCATAGACCCTACCCACATATGAAACTCATTGGGAGCCATTTAACCACTATCTCTTCCCATCCTCTGGGATTCAACACAAAAACAAACAGGAAAAATAAGTTCATTTCCTAGGTATGAACTTGATTCATAGGTTGCAGCTTTAAATTTCTGGAAACAAAAATATCTTCAAAGGTTAAATGTCTCAATATGTGTCACTTTTATTATTATGCTTGGATTAATTTGGAGGAAACTTAGTAGTTATATTGGTTGTGGTTCTTTTCAAATAGTATTGGGGGGCTGGCCCCGTGGTGGAGTGGTTAAGTTCGCGCGCTCCGCTGCAGGCGGCCCAGTGTTTCGTTGGTTCGAATCCTGGGCGCGGACATGGCACTGCTCATCAAACCACGCTGAAGCAGCGTCCCACATGCCACAACTAGAAGGACGCACAACAAAGAATATACAACTATGTACCTGGGGGCTTTGGGGAGAAAAAGGAAAAAAAATTGTATTGGTTTTGCTAAGCTTGAAATGTGTGAACAGATCTTATTCAGCCATATAAAGTTAGACATACTTATCCATCAAATACATGGGTTTCTGAATAAGTATTATAATAATCAATTTGGCAAGAAGTGGAAAATGAGAGTGCTTACAGTGTACAATAACAATCAGTGTCATTTCTTTTGGGGTTGGTCTTTTATTTCTTTGTAACACTGCTGAGCCTCTAATCTTATAGAGTTTGCCCCTAAATGATTAGAAATCCAAAACAAGGAGAGTTTATTTGGAAAGGAGGAGGCAGTCAATCATGAAATTATTAGCAAATTTGATTATAAACACATACTATTTCTTACAGAGCTCACAACCTTTCAGAAAGTCCACACAAGTTTACGTATTCATTCAGGAAAACCTTGTAATATTATACTTTTCATTATCATGTGTGTATGTCCAAATAGGCTCCATGCTACACTATTATATTTCACCCTTGTTAGGCCAGTTAGCAGAATTTCAAATTATGAAGCAAGCTAAAGAATTTTTCTCCTTAAAATCATTTTTGTTGTAAAGAGGATCCTTATGTCGGGAGTTTAGAAAAATAAAAACCCCTTGGGAATTCTTGACTCCAAATAGCATTGAACAACAGAAGCATTGAACAAAACACAGGTTGTTATTAAAATACTTTTTTATGTTAATAGTAAATATCAATCCCCAAATTGCCAATAAATGTAATTACCCACAAGTTGAATATCAAGGGAATTGTCACCTACTGCTAATTTGGTTGAAGAACTGAAATTATCTTTAGAGAGTAAATTTCTTTTATATCCCAGAAAAATTTCCATTTTTACACTTGTTTAGGTCAGTATGAATATTTTCCATTGAGTAATGTAAGACCCCTGGATGTTACGTTTTTCCAAATAAGAGCTGCATATGAGTTGGTGATTTACTTTATCTTTAACCACTTAGATTGGCCCTTCAAGTTAGCTTAGTTAGAAGGAAAGTATGGCAAGGTTCCAGGTCTAGGAACCTCAACCCCACTCCCTCCCACATCTGCAACTTGATAATGAACTGCATTTTAAATGAAGAGAGACTTTTTTTCTTTTTTACTTTACGTAGGTCATACAACAAACTTCTACTCCCTGGTGTGAAAAAGATTAAAGATATTTTATTTTGTTTTGAATTTTAGATTTAAACAGATAAATACAAAGAGAATATTAGGATAATAAGTACTTATGAGAAAAAAATAGTAAGGAATGCTTAAGGCCTCCTGATTTCGCCTACTTTATAATTTCAACTTAAAGATAGCATAACCAAGAAATATATGTGGATAAAATAGACATTCTCGATCCTATTTTTGATTATTTAAATGATCTATCTTGCATTTGAACATGCATTTATATTCATTTTAAAATAATTTAGGATGACATCGTCACTCAGCCCATATTTCATTTCACCAGCTCAATATTATTATTATTAGTTGGCATTTATCAATAATCTCCAGGGGCTACTTAGCATTGTCCCTTCACACGAAGTTGGGGTAATAATTTGATTGCTCATAGTGAGATAAGTGCTGTATAAGTCTGGAACAATTGATAAAATTTACATCCCAAACTTACAAGCAGAAAAATAGATGAAAAGTTCACTCCTTACTCCATGAAGAAATAATTCTTAGAACTGGATAATGTTAGAGCTTACAGGAAACTTAGAAATCAGTTAGTTAAATTCATGAAGTTTGAAGGAAGTGAAGATGGCCCTTTGGATTTAAAGAAAAGAAGAAATAGTTTCAGATATAAGGGGTGTTTCAGTGATGAAATAAAGTATAGAAAGTTGAGTGTAGAAGCATATGCTTTTCATAGGTCACTGACAGAATGATCCATAGCCTTAAAATACAACAAGATGAACAATTTCCTCAGTAGAGAAGGGAAAGTGAGAAGAATAGTAGTGAAATTTTTTATATAGTGAAGGACTATAAGAAAAATCCATTTCCAAAGATGTTCCTGTTAGAGATCATGTAAATCCGCAGCTAGATCCCAGAATGGTTTTCATTTAATTCAAAATTAATTTGCTTAAATCTTGATCCTCTGATGACCTATTTTCCTTCATTTCTCCCTCATTTCCTTCAACAGCTGATTGAGTTTATATATACATACACCATATGCTATGCTGATTCATAATTTTTATAACACTGTACATATTTTTATAATTGGAGGAACTTAAAAGCTTACAGGGAATTGGAAGTAAGCAGTATTGATCAAATAACTAAAAAAATGTAAATTTGGCGTTCTGATAAGGAAATGTACAACAGTTATGAGAACATCCATTCAAAGGGGTGTACCTAGCTCGAGAGGCTGGGAACGTGTTTCTGAAAAACTCAGGACCTTGATGGGTTCCTTCCCTGCTAACCTGCTAATGGACTCAGGCCTACCTTCAAGTTTGTCTATTGTTTCCTGTTTTCCTGAGACTGATTGTTTAAAATTTCTGGCCCTGAGTTAACCAGTGTCCTCGATGAAGGCTGATTTTTTTCCCAAACGTGAAGAGGAACCCTGTCTCTATTAGATACGGAGTAGCAAAACCCAGCTCATCTGTTGCTCCAACACCTTTTGGATAGCTGTTGTCTCTGAAAGTCTAGCTTTGTTATGGTGATTGTAGATCCCTTCGTTAAATTTTATGTATTAAACAAAAATACTCAAGATGTGTCAAACTTTTCACATTTCAGTGTAGAGAAAATCATCAGTTCATTGACTGTTTGAGATTTCTGACTGTGGATGGATTTGAGTATGTATTTAAGATTTAGACACGTTTCCCCAATACGTTTAAGGTGTGTATGTGGGGGCTCTTTATTA